GTCATCCAGCTTGTTTTAGTGAGGCATTGTTCGCACTAATTCAGAAGCATTATATATATATGACTATTTACAAACAAGGAGTCATGAAAGACACGATAGAGTAATTTTATATATTTAAGCCTTAAATTGTTATTGTTTTTCATCTGATTGCAAGTTTCCTTAAGAAAAAACTATCATTTAAATAATTTTTTCTTCGGTAATCATCCACAATGGAAAAATTAATAATCAACTCGATTGCCGTGAGGACGGTGTTGCGCTAGGGTCCTGAAGTTTTCAGCCTAACACAGAAAGCAGTACGATTGATACGCCTAGGGAAAATGTGTTTGCGCTAACATTATGAGCGACATTTGTTTTGCTTGGTCAATCCCACAGTGAACAACTATCATTGGCGAGATTACTTCATATTACACATTAGCATCGGAAATCTACGATCGGAACGGGGGAAACGATGGGCTAGTGGTAGCCAAACTGGTCATGATGACGCATGGACCAAACGGTTAATACACAGGAAAGTGATGTAAACTGTACGGTATGTTCACTTTGGTATGTACCTACCATTCAATTTCAAGTAAAACCTCACAATAGGTTTTGAAGCATCCTTAGGGAAGACGTGGTGGTTGATGATATCCACAGTGTACGAAATTTCTTTGTCCATAACAAATTTAGAGAGCGTAAAACTATTAGGCGCTTCTGCAAAGAATTTAACTTAAGGAGAAGATATAGACACATCTCTTTAACACTGAAAGGTGGCACCTTGGAAGAAATTACACGTGAAGGACCACCAANGCTCAAAGGTCAGTACACACTGTTTATTAGTGCTTCTGCGATTGAAGGAAAGAACATATGCTTCTCTTGCGTTTTTTTAAATCTACTAATTCAATCAACTGGTGTGAAGCAATTAGATTGGCCGCACGACTACGCGTCTGTTCGAGCGCACCCATGAGCACCACACTTTGTGGTTGGGGAAAGGATTAATCATTTCCATCGCAAGTAAGTTAGTTCCGAACCATGTTGACATTAATCGCACAATAAATGTGCCCGAGGAGTTCCAATCCCTGTACAGATTACGAAAAGAGCTAGGCACTCGCGGTTTGAAATTCTAGCCATGACAGAGCCAATCAGCATCAGCCTTTGCAATCCTTCTCTATGAGCTCTATGAGACTCACCATGAGTCACTCAAATAAATGACAATTCACTCCTGAAGAAACTAATTACGCCCTAAATCTTAGATTATTTATTTTTCTTATCCGTTTCCTTCATGAACCTATCGGTGATTAGCCTTATATGCTGTCATCGTAACGAAACCAGACAAAGAATCCGGCATTGTCATACTTAACAAATCGGACTACATTCAGAAGATGACAGAGATTCTAAAAACTGGATCGAAATTTGCAAAATTGTCCCGAGGAAAATGTGAAAATACTCCAAATAAAGAAGGTCCGTTCTACGGCATTGTGACCGCTGAAGCAAAAGGGTTGTATAGGTACCGTCATGTTTCAACGGGTTTATCAAACAGTCCCGACTGTATGAGCTTCGCAAAGTTCAGTAAAGTGGATTTCCCCTCCGGCCAACCATGGATTGAAGCAACTCCCCTTACCAAGTTTTGTTAAATGTCTGGCTCGTCTCCTGGAACCGGTGAGAATAACGATAATTCGGCATAGAGTTTGGGATACATTCCGCTTTGTGAGGTTCAAATATAACAAACCGTCACATGTTCCGATAGGAGAGCCAGCTGATTATTTGTGATTATATAGAAATCAAAGAATTAACTTAGACCAACCGACAGATGACCTAAAATAATTTTTATTGTTCTGCGCTCATAATGTGCAATTCAAGTAATTTGAGGAGTTACGTTGCCAGAAAGACAGTGCAGCAATGGGGTTCCCGCTCGGGCCCTTGTTTACTGAAGTTTTCATGTCTAAACTAGAAAGCGGTCCCCCTAGATCACCTATTGAACACTGTGCACTGTACACACGTTATGCAGATGATATTTTATGCATGGTCGATTCCATAAAGAAGAGTCGACATCTAGCAGATCACTTCAGTGCTGCACATCGCCATTTGAAATTTACGATTGAAAATGAAGCAAAAAATGAGCTATCGTATCTGAATGTCTGCCTAACTCGTCCTGATGATAGGTCAATCACACGATCATCTCAAAAGAAAGGTTACATAGAATGGGTAGTGTATTCAATTCTGTAACTTTGTACCACTCGGTATAAAGAAGAACCTCATAGTCTGTTTTGCCAACAGAGCGAGAAGAATTTGTACAGAGGACACGATGAACTGCAAACTATGCGGAATATCTTTATCCCGAACGGATAGTCGGAGCGCCTAGTGAAATCTGTAATGCCAAGATACGAGGTGTTCCCCTAATAGGATCGTTGCTGAGAAAAGAACTGTGTGCATCTCTTTATCATTTAAAGGTGACAGTATAGCAGAGAATGTGCATAGAAGGCTATCAGAAGCCACAAATCAAACGTTTAACGCGGTCAAGCTGCAGACCTGATTTACATCTAACCCGTTAGTGCATCTGTGGTTGAACGATAGAACGCACGATTCTGCTGCCTCTATCTGCTTTTACCCCACCACTTGATTCTGTGGAGCAAATTATGTTGGTCGCACAATCAGGTGTCTGTCCGAGCGTATCTGTGAGTATCTCCCTGCGTGGTTGAGAAGTGAAGTAATTAGGTGAGTCACAAGTGCCGTTGTGTCGCACCTTGTTGACACTGATCACATCGTAATCGTGACCAAGGAGTTTCGATCCCTGTACTAAGTTAGAAATAGGCGGTCTATCGTATCCTAGCTATAACAGAGGCAGTCAGTATCCATTCCCAAAACAGCTTTTATTATTATTATGATAAAAAGTTATAAATTTATAGATTTTTACTAACCATCCCTCAGACTTCGACGTGGTATAGAATATAATACTTGGCCTATTCAGTCAACTGCACATTCGGAAAGTATTAGTCTCTAGTGTCCCTTCGGTTCAAGCTAGTCCGTATGGATCAGATTGTTCTGGTAATTCTCAGATTGAGCCGGATGGTCTAGTAGTGAGACACATCTGTTCCCCCAAGGGCCCGGGTTTCAAACCCAGGAATACCTGCTTACATGCTATCTGGTGATATCCATGTGCCCCTGGTGAACTGAACTCCTAATCCAAATGCGCGATATACGTGGGTTCGAATTCCACCAAGACTGCTTAACTCTTCATAATTGAACAGATGAAAAAATTATTTATTTTCCCCTCTTTCGCCATTAGATTTCTATTTTCAAAATTGAGTATTCGGATTAAAATAAGCTTATATATATTCAAGGGATTGTGTGAGAGAGAACAAACAGTAGTGGACAGTGATTTCGTCCTTGTTGGGATTCGTCAGCAGTGTGGGCGTTTGTTACACCCCTAGAAAAGTAGGCGGATCGAAATAAAAACCGTCGGAGTAGGGACCCAAACCACTGTCATTTAGTTGTACGATCGACTATCAGCATTTTTGTACAGTTCTTTTGCAATCAAATATCCCGTTTTAATCTCATGTGGTTTTGCAGGCTCAAGGCCCAGCGGGGTGGTACAAATAGTGCTCATCGCTGTTAAGCCTTACCCAGAAAGAAAACGATAGACCCGGTACTTCTTGTCGACCTTATACTCAAATTATTTTTGCTTATTTTCACACAAAAATTATTATTTGAAATCCAGAATACCAAACTGTGGAAAACAAATGGACTCCACAACGAATGACACACTCCAACCCAATAATTCACCTTCCCCGCACCCGCTTATTTACGTGAAACAAATCAGGAACGTGTTAAGTAAGGTATTTCACCTGCTCAGTCATTCTAAGCTAAATCAAGGAGAAACAAGTTGGTGCTCATTGTAGATTCTATAACTGTGTTTCGTTCTATGGCTTTTCGCTGACCGAATCGGCTACTGCTTTTATGTGTCACTATGCAGTTTATGCAAGATAATTGCACTGAATCACACTCTCCCGCGCGTTCACATGGAACTGAGAGTGATATACCGTTGCGTACTCACCTGAGCGGTGTCTTTCATCCAGTTGTATGAATAATCATCGGCCAAACATGTGTCTAGTTGGCTATCATCACAAAATGATGCCCAACTCGATTCTTCGCTGTTGGCAGCTGATGTTGCGTACACTGTCAAGGTCATTGTGAAGGGAATCAGTAAACAAACAAACAAAAATAACAAATACAACTGTGTTTCTCAAGCGCACCATGACATGAGAAGTTGTAGCCAGATTTTACCGTGTGAATAAACAAACATGGTGTAATGAAAAACAAAGTGAACTGCGTTTCCCGTTCCATGTGATTGATGAAAACAAAAACTATTGTATTTACTCAGTCGAATCTCTGAATAAACGGAGGAACGTGCGTTAGAGCTACAGTTGCAAAAATGAAGGAGAGTATTCTTCCAGCGGTTGATAACAGCTTAGACCGTAAGGGGTTAGTTCCATATTTCGCATTGGCTTGGGTTTGACCTGCAGTCCACATTTGACTTACATCTCGTGCAGCGTACCATGCCCAGCAACATATATAGAAAGATAAAAACCTTCCCAAGGAACGATCATCAACCCTTCTCATAGAGCATAAAACCAAATTGATGGACTCAATTAACATTCAAATTGGTTTACTGTTGCCGAGTTTTGATCTTTCATTTACTTTCTTAAGGAGATCCTCAGTTTATTAGCAAAGTGATTTCCTCTGAAGAGTCAGTCGTACCACATATATGCCACATTCCGACGTTTAACCTTTCTGATGTGAGGTGGCTCTGAAAGAAAATACTAGTTGAGTTACAATAATGAGACAAAATCGAAATGTGAAATGTTGACGCATCTGTAGATGGAACCGCTCTCGATAAATATAGCTTATTAGCTCCCCATTAATCCTTTATAATTCTACTGGCAACTTCCTGCTTTCTAATAGACTAATAAACGTAATACTGGACTAGCTATGGTTTGCAAGAGGTTATGGGACTCCTACCTGGAAAGCAAATCGACGGAACAGTCTTACTTGCTACCGCGTATTGGCCGGCACGGCCTAAGTTAGACAGAATTAGACTAATTTGAAATGCCCTTCAGACGATTATTCTGGCGGGTTATTGAGAATTACAAAGCATTGTAGTTCATCTATTATCATAGCACATTCCTTTCAATGTGACAGTGAACATTTTGCTAACCTATCTCTTTCCCCTCATATTCCTTGAAGATTGACTAATTTACGTTTATGGTAGACGGGAGTGCAGGATACCGGGTTCTGCCCCGGGGAAGCTAGTTAATTGGTTCACTGTAACCAAATAGCACTCGTTTGTGCATAGACTGAAGATCCAATCTTCAAAACCAAGACTATGCGGTATTGGAAACGCAAATTTACACCAGATTCATAAAATTACTTATGAGTTCCTCCAGCAAGCGACTTATTCTTAGTTAGGAGAATATCACCTACAAGTGAAAAAATAGTGATTGTTGATTTTGTTGTGCACTCAATTATAGGAGCAGTATAGTGTATAAGTCACTCCTTTTGATAGTACGTGAATATTCCTGAGTGTATATCCCTGAGCAAGGAATGAAACCCGGAGTCGAGAGACTTGCACATGCAGGTAATACATCTAGTCAGGATGCAGTCATGCAGGATCGACAAACAAGCAAAGAATCACTCAGGTTGAACAGCTCAGTAATAAAGTTTGATTAATTGGAGAAAACTGGTTTTCGAATGTTTGTCACCGAGTCATTAACCTGGAGGTTAGGGCTTCGAGGAGATACCCTCAACAAATTTGTACAGATGGCCCAGGTCTTATCTTGCTTAGAAAAAATAATAAAAATTCGATCTAATTAGCTGTGTAGTGATCAAGTGGGTATTGTGCTTACATTCAGAGAGAGGTCGGAGTGGTCGCGTGTTTGAACTTCAGCTGGTAGATAATTTCGCACTTCTGATGAAAGCAAACAGCGTCGAAAAAGCTGTACAGTGCGCCCTGATGCCTGATTTGCTCTGTATACAACGAAATCCACTTTAGGATCTTAGTCTATACTATTTTAATGGGCTTCTTGTGTTTGTGTGTGCTGGTAGTTAGTATTGGTTAATCAACGAACAGTGACACAAAAATTTTCAGTTAACGAATCACTGAATGAAAGTTCCATACCAGTAACGTTCAAATGCGCTTCAAATCCATTTAACTATAGAAACAGACTGCAAAACATCACACTATTCTTCATAAACACAAATAGATTAGGAGTAATACGGAGACAACCAACAGGGATGCAACCAGGTGAGTTGATAACGATACTTCTGACGAAAAATTACCGTTAATATCATTTCTTAGCAGATCCTCAAACATTGAACCGGAATAACAAGCCTCAATGTAAACCACGGCTTTGTTGAAACGCTTCTCGTCTCGCATTCGTTTCAATGCGTTTGTCAGTTGTTGTGCGTAGAGCTGAAAGACAGAAACAATCAGTGTGACTGTAAGATGTAAGTGGTATTTGCATTCCCACTGTGTCCCATCTTGTTCAAAAGAGAACGGTTCGCATAAAACAACACAAAATTAGCAATCAAAACAAATAACCAGTCAGTCGACAAAAGAGAATGATGACGTAATCGTCGAAAGAGGTTATCTTGTGATATTTCACATGAGATTAAACCAGGATTGCAAATTACAATTACAATTCGACTGTAAATAAGCCAGAGAGCAGATATTCCTGACGGAAACCTGTGAAACTAATAATAACTTACAACACCATTGGGAAAGGCAATGAGGTTTGTTGCTCCATGATCGCTAAAGAAAATGAACAGCTTGTCGTTATTTGTGCTTTTCGACGGAATTGGAAGATCGGGGATGGAAGGGGTGGAACGAGGTAAAAAAACGAGTTCGAAAATTAGTTTTCACGTCCGAAAGGACAAGAACAAAGTCAAATGAACAAAGGACAGTTTTATCATTCATTATTCGTCCCAGAATGGATGACAAATATCTATCTGAACATTTCATTAGTCCTTTATTAAAGGAAAAAGCTGACTAGATTCATTGTTGCGATCATGTGACCGCTGTTCTTTCGAGTTAGTGCACATACTATGAAACACCAGTAAAGAATTAACACATCAGTTTTGCGAACTGAGATTGGACACTTCACAAGCACTGATGATGTCACCTCGGCTGGTGATGAAATGTTTGCAAACAAATTGCCAAGCTCGGCGAACAGGCGAAACGGAATTCAGTTCACCCGAGCTACGCAAACCGATTTTCAGTATTTTGTTAACACTGAAATGAATTGTGTCAATGCTTTAAAAGTTTACTATGGTATTTCCTTCCCCCTAATAAACTGAGGTGTTCATTGGCGTAGTTCAACAATAGTTTAGACAACTAAAATACGGAATATGATCTATGCTTTCCGGGAGCAAAATCGTTCAATACGGGTACTTCAACTTCGAAGGTCCATGACTGGTCAAAGTCGAAATATCCGGCAGTCCAAAAGCCATCAGTGATATGAAACCAGTCCGATAACAGGGATAATTTGAACAGGAGAAACTGATGATAGGTACTAACCTTGTGCAGCTGTGTCACCTGTAGAGCTGAAGACAGTTTGAGAATGATTTGCTAAAGAACAACTGATTGGCCTCATCGCTAGTCTAACCAGTAAAATGCTAAATAAAAACGATACACGTCATGGAAGCAAATAAAAATTGACCGTTTTGACAGTAAGAGATATGTTTTACTGAGGATTTTTTAACCAAGTTGATAAACCATTCACTGCCTAGAAAAGTATGGATACTACAGTGCATCTAATTTCATCTTAGAGGACATCTTACCTCAAAAAGTTACATTAACTCCTTAAGTAATCTACCTAAAGGTAACAATTTAGGCATATCGGGCAAATCACAACCCATTATTGCAATCATAAATCACTACTTAATAATAGTCTGTAAACAGAGTGATTTCGAGAAAATCAAGATACTAACTTGTAAATGTGAGCTGAATGTTTACTTAGGAAAAGTTATTGACCATTCTCTAAATTCAACCAGATGACAGCAACAACAACAACAACAGGAACAGCAATAGCAGTAGTCGGTCAAAAGCTAAAAGATGTAGTAGAGCTGTGCAAATACGTGTGTCTATCTTCACCATTCAAATTCAATAACCTGAAAGTGTGTTTTATACGATCGATCACTTTGAATGCTACCAGCCGTGCACTGTGTGCATTGCATGATTCATCACGGATTGTAAACAATAACTCCTCATTGTTGTATAAACAGCTCCAATTTGATCGGCGATCAAAGTGGGCACTGAAGCTTTTTCCCGTTCACAACCACTCACCTCTCAATCACCTTGAAGCCAGCCTGCTTTAATTCTTCACTGCCAGATAGTACATTGAGGAACATTTCCGGAGTTACGAGCTGCAAATTTAAATGCGAAATAAGACACCAAACAAAGACGAGGATTATGACATGAAACAGTTTCCATCCTCGAAATCGTTATAATCTCAGGAGAAGAAATTCTGAACAGAGAAGTACCTATGCATAAGATATTACGGAATGTATCGCGGTGGATACACTGAAATGAAAGTAACAAGATAAAACAACCGTGCAGTTGAACATCTAAAATCATAAAAAAGTCAGTCATTCAGTCAAAGTCAAAGTAAGCTTTGTGCACCCGTAGGGTGAATTTTCAGCTATTTTCNGAGAATACAGTGGAATTGAGGTGGGTGGCTTCCGAATGTGAATAGGTTAGTTAAAAAACAAAATGACAGAAAACTGAACGCAGGAAGACGATAGTGAGGGATAAAAAATGAATAAATAAACTAACTCGTGAAGTGTTCAACCAAACCTGTGATAATTGGTGCACGATTAACTATTCCTTTTCAGTTTAAGATGTCCTAATATCAATTTAAGATGTCACAATATGAACTTAAGATGTCCGAATATCAATGTAAGATGTTATGTTGATATGTGGATAGTACCTTGCACAGTACAGAGTGAAAACGTTCGATGGAACCCCTGTTTACCCAAATCCATGTGCGTCTTACCTGCATACTGATCTATGACCCCCGAAAATTGCTCATTTGCTTGGTCAAAAGACAAATGTGGTCATCGTGTGAGAGACCCAAACAAACCCTAAAGCGCTCTTTTTTGTTTCATATTCAACCAAGCCTTTGTCACTGACATAGCTCTGACTGAATTGGGGGTTGCATTGTCCAATTCGTGTGTGTGAAAACAAGCAGACAAGATCATCGTCGGTGCATATTTTTTGTTGAGCGTTGGACGATAGTTTCGAGGGCCATACATCAGTATGCAGGCAGGACGCACATGGATTTGGGTAAACTGGGGTCCCATCGAACGTTTTCACTCTGTACTGTGCAAGGTACTATCCACATAGNTTGATATTCGGACGTGTTAAATTGAAATTCAGATGAACAGCGTGGCGGGGTCATTGAATTTTGGCCTTGCTTTTCGAAATTGGACAACTGTTTACGTTTTCTGCAGTGGATACCATTGACCGTACACATTTACATCAATTCGTCAATTTTTAAAGGTTAAATGCTGACCTACGACTTCTACTGTATGAAATCTTTCTGTTTTCGCGAAGGACGTTGAAATTTCAGCGTTTTCTCATTCCGTGACGAACCGTAACGAACGGTTGAGAAATAAACGTCAAGGTCAACATAAAAAACATCGCGCTGGCTGGCAAGTTGCGCTCCGGCGAAGTTCTATCAATAGGATGACCATCCCGTCCATTTGTTCGCGAACAAATGTTACGCGAATGTTACACGCGCGTAACATTCGCTCACTTGTGGGAAAAATCAATGAGGTCCAGAATCTGGTGCAACAGAAACAATGCAAATGTGTGAGAGTCATTTCACCCCAGGAAGGCTGGGTACACCCAGATATTGAGGATGACGTGGTCGGATAAGACCGCTTTGATATTTTCAGGAGTGATCGGATTGCGACATTTCGCAACATAGGTGGCGGTCACTTTCGTAAATCGAAGTTGGTGTAAGAACACTTGTTTGATTTTTTCCTATTCAACAAGTAAAATTAACTGTACTTTTGTTTGCTTCAAGCCCCGCTTTCTCAGAAGATTTCTCTTCATTTACTTTGTGAATATTTATATTACTGCTGATACACTCGTCTCCGACTTGAGACTATTTTCTGATACTGTAGTGACATAATTCGCCAGTTGTATTGGCCAGTCCTTACGTATTACCGCTGGCGACTTTAATCGCTTTGATACCTCCTTTCTAGCCACTCTTGGCTTAGAGAACCTTGTCAATTTTCCTCCCCGTACCAATGCCTTTCTTGATGGCATTTATCTAAATAGTCCCAATATGTTTCACGTTTTTAAACGAGTCCCAATTAGTAATTCTGTCTACTTTACCATTCTTCTTTACCCAAAAATATATTGTAAAATTTTTCACTGCCTTCATACACGACTCACCTCTCGTACGCTACGGAAGAGAAATTGTTCTCCTGAGAACTTGTCCCGACTGCAGGACTTAGTTTCTTCTACTGACTTTTCTGTGTTCTTCCATAACCAGCTGTCTTCTTCTTTTGAATACCTCACCGATTATCTAAATTTCTGCTATGACCAAAACTATCCTGTTGAAACTATTTATATTCGAAACGCTAGGTTTTCCTCCCCCCTTCTTAAGCGACTTCCTCGTGCTAAAGAGACGGTATATATGACCGGCAGGCGTGACAGTGTTAAAGAGTTCTCTGTTCTGATTGGAGCAGAAGTAAGAAGCCTGAACGGGATGTACGTTGAGACTGTTTTGGGTAATAAAAGCTGTCGTGAGATGTGGACTACCTTGCGGAAACTCTGTGGCTCACGCATCAGTTCTTGTCCCAACATTGAGGTACTTAACCGTCAATTTTCTTCTGTACCTGCCTCTAGCTCCTTTCCATCTCCTTTTCCTACCCATGATGCAATAAAACCTGTTTCTCCTGATGGGGTCCTCCAAGTTTTGAGGAGACTCAAGGACAATAAAGCTCATAGTCCCGATGGATTAGCACTTCATTTATTGAAAGCCTGTGCCGACCAGCTTGCGACACCCATTGCCGAATTGTTCAGTACGTGTTTGTCATTTGGAACAATTCCCGATTGTTGGGGTTCAGCCCGGATCAGACCAATCCCAAAGAAAGGATCGTCCAAGCGCCACTGCTTGCACATCTGCGTTGCTGAAGGATTTTGAGAATGTTTTGCTGCACTGCAAGATACCCCAGTGTAACTCCCATGACCATTTACAATTTGCTTATAAACCCCATTCATCCAGACTTGACGCCGTTGCTCATATTGTTCATTCTGTTGCTTCCGTCTTAGACAATGGCGCTGGTACCACTCGTTTAACTTTTCTTGATTATACAAACGCTTTTGGTTCTCTTGACCGAAGTGTGCTTATTGATCGTCTTTCTGATTGTGGTCTAACTCCTGAAGTCTTGAATGTACTAATCAGCTACTTCTCCTGTAGGACTCAATGGTGTACAATCTTCTTCTATTAACATTGAAGCCGGTGTTTTTCAGAGTGTCATTTTGTCCCCTTTCTTGTTTTCCACGTATATACAAAATCTGCCCATTCCCACCAACTTTATTGCTTGTGAGTATGCTGTTGATATTGTGATTGGTTGCCCAGCCACTATTTCAGACAGTTTTGACCTCTCCAGGATAGTCTTAATGAACTTCACGATTGGTCTGTGACCCGATCTTTTATACTTAACATCAGTAAGTGCATTGAAGTTCCATTTAGTCTTAAAACCAGTCCCCGTTATCTTTCATTAGTTGATAATCTCCTTGATCTTAGAGTTAACAATCAAAGCATTCCCAAATCTGTATATGGTAAATACCTTGGTGTCATCCTTACCCATAACCTGTCCTATCCGCTCATGTCATCAACGTTTTCACAAAGTTCGGAAACCTCTTTCTATGCTTACAGGCTCAGGAAACTGGCCGTACCACATAATCCTATTCTTAAATTTGTGAATGCCTGCATTCTTCCATACTGGCTATACTGCTCCCCGATTTTTATCCCGGGACCGAGGAAAAAAAACTTCTCTTTATTTTCAAGATTCCTTAAACTTTTGTCTCGCTACAGTAGAATTGATAGCGTTGTTTTAGTTGACTTCTTTATTTCCAAGCATCTTGACGCTTGTGATACATGCATCGTCAGGATACCACGTGATCAAGGACACTGTCTGCACCAAGATATTGCGAAAGCCCTGTCAAATCCTCGGACACGCTCCAAATATCAACTCCTTCCTGCGCGAACTTCAATATACCGAAACAGTGTACTTCCATACCTAGCTCGTTTACTAGTAAATCGTCAGCATATTCTCACCCACCTCAGGGAAAAATTCTTGCCCTAATTTTTCCCACTTTTATTAAAGTGTATAATTTCTTATACTGTGTTGTTTGTTTGTAATTGTTTCACCTATCCGCTGTAAAAATCGTAAACTGCTGAAAATTCACCTTTTGGGTGCATACAGTTTTTCTTGACTTGACTTGGTCTTAAACTGAAAAAGGTATAGAAAGCGAGCAAGAAAAGGGAGGCTGCTATTTCTGCACGCGACGGTTCGGGCAGAAAGGAGCCTATAATGGGAACGAGTAAGGGGATTAGACATGGATTTAATAAGTTCGTTGTGCAAGCAGTTATCTTCGTTGTTCAAGATTCTGTGAGCCATTCTTTCACATGCGTCGATATGTTTGCACACAATAAAATCAACCAAAACTTCTCTGGCTATGCCACTACATCGAGAAAGGAGTTTTGTTGATCTAGAAAATATTACGAAATATTTTTCAAGCCGGAAAAAGGTTCAGGGGAACAGTACAGCCAATGAGGTAGGATGCATCCTGCGACGAATTCGAAAATTATGTTTGAGGGAACAGTAAGCTTCCTAAGCATGAAAGCATAAAAAGAGTTGACGAAACTTGTTGTAAGCGTACTCTACATGTAAGGTCAAAGAGAGGTTGTGGGATAAAACGAATTCGATGTTTTTAACGGAGACAGCTTTGAGAATGCTGTGACTGTAAACTCCTAGATTCGGTAAATCATCAAAGGTAGTTTCATGGCGGTAGCCAGATTTAAGTCTGAAGGGAACGTCAACAAATTTGAAAACATTAAGCAAGAGTGATCGGGGTAGAGACCAACTAAAAACGTCATTCGGACTGCTTTGAAGTTGTTGGAAAGAAGCATCAGTATTGGAGGGGCACCCAATCACCACATCGTTCGCATCCTCACAGGCAATAAAGTTGGTAGTGGTAGGTAGGTGATCAGTTCAAAAGCAGTGATCAAGATTATCATCACCGAACTGCCCCACGGAAGGAGAGAACACGAAAATTGCACAGTGAAATAGATCATGGTTATCAAACTGTACACCGAGGGACACTAAAGACCACATTCATTAGTCGGTGGTATACAGCTGACTGGAAACGATAACTGATTTCACGAAACAGTCCTTGTTTGATCAAACAATCTCGTCTTGGATAGAAGTCACATGATATCACAAATGTGTTAGAACTTACCTCACCACGATAATCTATTTCAAAACCTTCGTACACATCAGTGTGTGTGTAGTCATTGAAGATTTTTCCGGGGAATATGTTGCTGCAATGAAAATAACCCAGTGGAGTATTTTCATCCTCAGCGTTACCAATTAGATGCAATTGAATAACTGTGAATTTCTTGAACAAAAATTAAAAATGATAACATTTGATCGCCAAAGATAAACGGCAAACATTGCCTGATGAGGTTTCATTTAGGACTGGGTACAAAATTAAGCAATGTCATCTGGGATTCTGACGATGCTTATTTTCACCCTTATCTTCGTGGTTTTTAGCTTATAAGCTGAAAAAAATAGCAAAAGGGAAAGTGAAAAGAACGGTTAGTTGAAAATAGATTTGGTAAGCATTGCTCTGTTTTGTTTGTTTGTGGGGGTTGTCAAGTGGTCTTAGTTGTTTTCACTTGGATGCTTTGGGCTCCAGAGTTTGAGGTTTTAACGCTGACATCGCTACTGAACTTTGGTAGCAGACAGCTTGCTTTCCTTCGGCTCGATATCGCGCCTATCCCATTGGAACGTTCGGCTATTCACTTCTTCGGGTCACAGGACTGAAGTTGTGGGCTACTATGAGTGATAAACAGGCTCCAAAGAGTGTAGGGTTGATTTCTTGTTGAGTAATGATTTCAATAGTATGAACTGCCTTTAATGGCGGAAGCAGACCAAACTTTAGTTCTATAGTGAATATGGGAAGCTTTTAACAGTTAGAAGCATTGCGTTCTTGTGTTTGGTCAATGGAACTAGTTGCAACCGTCAATATATGCATGGTATCCCAGTGTTTTTCTCGCTTTTATTATACGGTGTTATTTATAATTGGTCGTGTCATTTCACTTCTGTTCTTTTGTTTTTATCAAAGTTCAGTGCATATCACGTAACATGATACTCAGTTGAGTCCAACAGTCTCTCCTCCCCCCCGGGAAGGGGAAGAACAGTAACGATGGCTGGATATTCTGATCATCAGAAAGAGAGAGCATCGAGATAAAAATGGAAAAACCACCGCTACATCTCAGATGAATTACACGTCGGATATACTTTGATGGACATACTAGATCAAAGTGCAACATAATCGCACCAGGCCAAAGTTCTTTTATTTTGAGCACACATGGTCGGAATTTCATGTCGAACTTTTTCCCTACTTGCACTTGTACTCCTCACACGGCGTAATAAAACCACGCGAAACTATGTTCCTTGATTTACCGTTTTATTTTCTATTTTTTATTGAACAGACAATATTCAATAATAGCAAGCTGTCAGACGGTACTATACAAATGGAGGAAATGAATCTCCTAGTATATATATATATAAATATATATATATATAATGTCACACACAAACTCCAAATGCATCTAAAACATGGTCAAGTATCTTGATAAAAAGAGACTGTCAAATGTTTTAATGAAACCAGTTCATTTTAAACTCATTGTGTGTATGTATCAATCGGACGGGTAGAGGATGTTAAGGGATTAATTAGAGAAAGTCAAAACAATGGTTTCAATTTGATCAACCACACCTCATTAAAAATGGATCAGATTTCTGCACGCTAACATAGACCAATATTGCACACGTCTTTTGCTCCTGTCCAGGCATTATCGTCCATTGGGTGTCGAAAAACTCGGTTGGTAAACGTTACTCGTCAAATAGTCACGATTTGCCAAAATTCTGTACGAAGAACCATCGTAAGGTAGGAAGAATAACTGAAATACATGTTTGTGCCTGTGTAGGCATGTAACCGTAGTGCATGTAACCGCTTTGCGCATTCATTCAATTGTGTTCCCTCTGTTATGTTCGTAAGCCAACTTGTGCTCAGTGCCGTATAATTGATTCCTATGAAGCCTATATTAATCGTGATGAATGAAAACGGAGTGCAATTTTCAATCAATTTTGATTGCAATAGGATCATTTGGATTTACTAACCACTCTTAGTTACTGTTTTGGCTTCATGTGAATCTAACGCATTGACCGAATGGCCTAATTATGTCTTGTTTCTCCACTTGAGTCCCGAATTAAAATTCAACCGTGGATATACTGTGTGAAGTAACCGGAAGTTGGCATAAGCTGTTTCTGCAGTAAAATGCAGTATATTGAAATCCCTGATGAAATACAGTTACGTGTGCGTGACAAAGAATGTTACTTATTACAACTAATGTCACGTTGTCGTATGATGCTTTGGTGTTACGTTGAGTCTTTTGATTTTGCACATTGGTGTGATGAACACTAGGCAGGTCATGCACAGAAACCTGCAGGTCAACGATAGAAACTGGGATTTGGAGTAGCCAACCGCATAGGGCACAAATAGGTTAGACGTGACATTGAACTTGAAGACAGCAAAGCTGCCTACCACCAAAGTTGGGGGGCGATGGTGGGGTTCGATCCTCGAACCACGGGGTTCAAAGCACGCCAGTGACAGCGACTAAAACATACCGATACCCTTGCCTATGTTGGGGAACTCAGATCTTTATCTCTATGGACGAATCAATCCTCGTTTATGGGTGATATTCATTTTTTCACTGACTTCATTACACCAAATCATTTGATGATCACTTGGTTATTCTGTTACAACTTTCTTATAATTTCCTCTTTCTTGCTCATCGTTCGTAAAATATTAACGAAAAATAAGACTCAGTCAATCACTGTAGTATATTTCAGTTTGTTTGCTGCTTCAATGAAATGAAAAAAACAAGCCAGAAGTGAAATAATATTCCGTGATAACCGACATTTAAATGGCTTCTAACAGAAAGTACACACGGTTGGTAAGCGGACATCTAATGTTAACATCAATTCGAATGAGTCGGATAAATAACACGAAATGGGGATACAGTTCCAAACTCAGTATGAACCCATATGCTCACATGCAAAGCCGCATGGCCAGTCATCATATGTGGAAGGTGTTTATCCAATTAAGTTGATATTTTAGTTCCTGATGTCACTTAGATTAGCCAACAATTAATTTTCGGAGATAGGATTACGACTTATCGCAGGGTTGTCGGAGGAAACAAATTTAACTCACGGGGATGCAATGCGAAAACAATACTCTTTTCCATTTGGCTTCATCTTCTATGTGTTTTCATATTTGTCCTTTTACTTTCAAGAGGTTTCAACAGAATAGATTTTTTTATCTGGATACGGGACCCTTTTGCGTTACTCATGTTAGTTTTAGCAATTTTTTTCATCTGTCTCATGTTCGGACATGGACGTGTTCCAGTCACTTCATTTTCGTGTACTCAGATCTTTCCATCACTGCAGCCGCTTCCATTTCTTACCCATTGATTAGCCACATTCCCTTCCGTAGTAGGTAAACAATTACAGTTATTGTCATTATCATTTCACTTGTACCTTTTCCATCTTAAAACTAACAAACGTTTGACAGCATTGATTTGAATCTGGGAGGTAACTTACTGTGGACTGTAAGCAATATCATCAAACGCCATCGTCACGATAGTCTCTTTCGGGATGCCATTTTGTCGTAACAGCTGATACGCGTGAGCTATGTCAGCCTGCAAATAGAGTGGAGTGAATAACGATGACAGTGCTATATCTGCCATAAGGTGTGCAGTTGTAAGTTATTCAATTTGTCAAAAAAACCTCGATATATTGGAGTAACTTTGAAAAGTTTTACTCAATCGTCCTTTCCACTGTTGGAATTTGTTAATCAACTCAGAATCTATCAATTCATGAAAAAAAACAGTATGGGATAAATTCCGTTGAGAATTTTAGAGTACACGAGACTTGATGTGAAAAGCTGGCAAGACCTTGTTTGGTTTTATAAACGTTGCAAATTCATCGACCTAACCAAGGGTCGAACCCAGGAATTAATTGGGTAAACGCTTGCACACCATCTTTTCATCAAACTTTTTATCCTTACGCAAATGGGGACTAAACACTGGTCAACATTTCAGTTTAAAGTTTCTCCACCTCATGGTTGATTCTCATTAAAACAGTCAGTTCTGCTTTAGCCTTAAAATTCTATTTCGCGGCTGGAGCTCCTCAAAGCGATCAACCGCGGTAAATAGGGTTGGTAATTAACCTACTATATGAAATGGAAATGTTTCCGTCATGTTTGACGTTCTGAATGTTTTTATTTCGTTTCTAAACTAGACACCGGTACACCAAGTTATGAGAAATTATTTCACTATGGCGTCTTTTCTGTGACGTAGCAAGGACAAGATTCACGGCAGTTACTGAGGTCATTTGTAAAAGGCATAAGAAGCATTCAAGTTTATTTTAAGAGCAAAAGCCGAAGATATACTCGTCCTTCTGCACGTAGCCGCGTTCATGAAAGATGATGGACCAATAAAAAGACTGAGCTATGGAAACACAATATAGGATAATATTTCTACCATCGTTACCGCGCGTTCCCTTGGAAATATAAATGTATTTTAGTGCAGTTTCCAGCTCGCAGAGCTCGGTAGGTTGGTTTAACAGATACACCGAAAGAACTAAAAGTAGTTCATCAAGCACAATAGCACCATGCTTTTCTGGAAAATTTATTTCAAATAATACCCAGCCCATCTCGGTTAAAAATAATCATCCTTTTGTTTCCCAAAGAAAGGACAATTTCTAAGGCTGGCATTTAGCAGGGGCGCGCATATCGAAACTTCTGTATGGTTGCCCCAAACGGCTATAACTCGTTCGTTTAAAATAGCAAAATAAGGTCAAAGTGTTTTCAAGCACCAGTTATTTGAAGAAAATTACCGTAAATTCTACGGACCATGATTTCTTATATGATAATTCACTCTTTTAAGTGCGGTTGTCTCAACCAGTCAAGAAGCAGCACGAGTAGTAGCTAGACCGGATGAACACCAGTATATATCTGCTATTCGGTGGAGGGTCATCTTGAAGGCATCGGATACAAAGTGATCCGGAGAAGGTTTGCAACGTTGTATATCACTCAAAACTCGAGAGAGTGAAGGTGTGTGCGTGGCTAATGACATGACTATTCATTTACTCGTACTGTAACTGAGTTATCAATGAACTGGTGGTTCAAATAGTGATGTACAACTGTTTCAACCGAGGTTGCTTTCATAAGCAACGCGAATTCTTCGAATCAACTGAGAGATGCGCCAAGAATGTCACAGATAGACCACAATCATACGCCTCATTTGAACGCCACGCAGGCAATCAGATCCAGTTTAGAGCGGTTTTCATTTATTCCGAGACGAAATAGCACAGAGGATAGTACTGAGAGAAGCGCTACGTGATGCCCCTTGCAGAGCCGAGCTGTGGCGTATTACGTACAGACAAAATAACTAAAACGACCTAATCACTTGCACAGCGATAAAGTGGGTAGTTTGCTCGTATTTTACCAGTGAGGTTTCGGATTTTATCCTGGATTGACTCGATGGCCTCGCACTGCTGATGAGGCTAAATAAAGTCCAACTAGGTGTGCGATGTTTCTGTGTCGCTCAGCTCATGCTTTGTTTAATCTATGTACGGCGAACTTCACCAGATGACGCAATCAAAATCTGTTCCACTCCACTTACCAATTCCTTGGCTCATTCTTATCATGGCAATATTTAGAGATTTGGAGATCTTCAAAGTAACGAAGGGTTATTTGTTTTTACGATCAAATTGTATGAAGATCGATGTAGTCAACCACTAAGCTGCTGCGTTCCAGTTGGCACTGATCAGATCCTCTTCAAGGAGACAGATATAGCATACGCGATTAACGCGTGTCAATAAGGAAACAGGTGTTTAGTTTCTATTTCCAGCTTTCCCACTCATCCTTAGACGACCGAATATCATAATCAGAAACAAACTCCAACAATCATGACAATCGGTGAATTAAACACGGACATAGAGCACAATAAATTTAGTTACGTATGAAGCTCAAACAGTTGTTGCCTGTTTTATCCCATTCACTTACCTGATGTCGGTAATTGTACCATCCATTCGATNCCATTCGATCCAGCCACCAAAAGAACCCAAGTCTTTGGATTCTCATCTGCGCCCGTAATGGTCGAGATACAAGCGAGCAACAAGCACAGGATCCGTGCAAACATACTGGAAACCTCCAGAGGACCGCTCCAATCTGAAACCGTTGTGCACTGAAGTATATACCATTTTCATGGGGTCCCGTAATTTATCAATCAATCGGAATAGGTGAGAGGGTGTGTATTCCGGGCGATGTATTGTCGGGCGCAAGTTTAAAACTCGAATGGTGTATCGCCTGTATGATCAACTACACCGACGCATCCTCTGACTGCCCACGTGTGACCGTTGCAACAAAATACATTCAGAGCACCCACCGGGTACTCACAGTTCGGTATGTGGCAAACAGACAGCGCACCGATATGCACAGATCAAAGTTCTCCATCTCCAACCTTTGTAATGTTCAATCCGTATTCATTGTACCAATATGAAACAAGCAGGTATGATGTGAATTTTGTGATAAAAGTCTTTTAAACGTGCGATATTGTCAATGAATCTAATTATCGGATTGTCATCACATCAAACTGGCACAAATTTGATCACATACACTTTCGTAGGTGCTCTCACTAGAGCTCTACAAGGCACAGGCTTAGTCGGAAGTCGGTATCCTATCCTCAGTCAATTGAACAAGTGAAATACAAGACCATCAGGAGGGCCTGGTGTCTCTTAACAATCGAATGGGCTAATCCAAGCTTGCTACCATACAATCAATATACTGATTACGAATAAGCATTGCACTATTTTCCACCAAAAGGAGTGAAACTTTCCTTGTATTCAAATTAGACTATACAGATAGTACAGCTTACTCATCAAACTTTCGTACGATTCAAGTCTATCACTGTGAGCAGAAAAACATCCGTGTTGACATTCATGGATCCACAAAAGAAAGTAAGCTTAGAATGGGTTTTGAATTCACTGACTGGTTTAGTCTCTTGGGGAGCGGTTAAGTTCACCATCGTCCCAGAGGGCGTGTATTCGAATCATGCCACTACCAAAAACACCATCACCATCACCTATATGTAAACATGAGGCATCAATTAAACAAAATAATCTGATCACATGTCTGGTGGCAAAATAGGCTAAAGTACCTCTTTTCTTCCTGTGGATTATGCGGTTGGGATTCACCCTGCTTATGGGACTAAACTCTTTGAAAAAGAAGTCAAGTTTTAGGGTAGCATGCTTTGATTGTCCCATTCGATCGTTGAGAGGCACCAGGCACTCTTGGTGGTCGATCGAATGGGCTAAGTTGACTGTGCATTTGTATATTCAATAAATTGAAATAGGAAATTAAAAAGGACACAAAACAAAGGCAATTCAAGCTTGTTACTCTAAAATTGATTGAGTCATTCGCACAAGGTGATGGCCATCGACCGTGTAGCTCAGGGGTAAGGGTTTGAAGTTCCAACCCGAAAGTTCGCGGTTCTACAGGATAGACAGGGATAGACAAACTACGCACTGGTGACGAGTTCCATACAGGACCAAACAGTGCCCTTTGGCGGTTATCACAAACAATTCCATTGCATGTAGAAGCCAAGTTATTCTAATTTTTAACTTCTCACTTCTTTAGCCACTTATGTGATAAACTTTGCTCCCGTTCCTCTTTTATACATTTAAGCCTGTTATCAAATGAGTGTCAAATGCATTTGATTCTTTCGACAGTACTAATGACATTTGCAGAATGATTCGAACTCACATACACCCCTGACTGTATTATCCTATTTATCCACACACACACACACGCATACAAACACAGACATTACTTACGCGTATTCTATTTCCTTGAACTATATGATTTTGTAACCTATAAAAGAGTGCTATATTTGGCTAGTAAATGAGGCACCGAAAACGAGCTTGTTTGCCAAATTGAATTCTCGATGCAATCCACGGGTATTTTCCAGCATTTAAGATTTGTTGGATTTTCGAGTGAAAAGCTGCATGCACGTATTAACAATTTGGAGTGATGTATGGTTACTGAAAATACTTGTGTTTTAAGTGTTTGATACCAACATAAAGGAAATCATGAGCTAAACACACCCACTTCTTTTATGATGAGTTCTATCGGAAATCGCAGCTTGATGAGTCCCTAGTAAGCGATTGGCAGACGACTTGAGGTGATTAAGTTATTGGTTCAATGAGATCAGCCTTCATTTCTTGACTTCACTTGAATTCTTTTTAGTGAACTCCATCTGTGCCATGATCTCACGGATCGTAACCGTCCACTAACGACAGTCGGGGGCGAAATGAAAGCAGACAAAATGATGGTTCTAGTACTCAATACTTTGGACGATTTGGGAACAATAAGCCCATTTGTTAACTGTCCACCGCGGCAGCAGTACCAATCCAGGTAAAACGATAATTTCAATAGCCAAGCGGCGGGGAATATGGTCCAAATGTGCTCCATTTGTTCGTTTTAGAAGCTTCAATAAGCATTCAGCGTTACATCAAAGGCAGAGTCACACATTTTCAAAGCTTACAGTGGATACTCATTATTCAGCTTTGGTTATTGAGCTATGGTCAATGTTAGAGCAACTACGAACAGTTCTACTTTAGCTGTAGTACGCACGAAACAGTGCGTCACCCTTCATGCATATCGAGTGGCGTCCA